ACTTGTTCAGGAAGCTGAAGAAGAGGCTGTAACACTTTTAAGAGAGACAGATTTCATTTTCATTTGTTCATTGTTGTTTTTAAAATGACTGAGTTATCCCACTTAAGATGTATTTAGGAAACGCAGATGCAAGAAAAACTGTCATGTAGCTTTGTGACTGATCTTTCTTTGCTTCTCTTGTATTAAATAAAAAATAAGTATCATATTCATTACAGTAGCAAACATCATATGAACATGATGAACATCAGATGGACGAGATCCTCAACAAATGTATTATATGGAGAAAAAACCTTGGGAGAAACCAGGCTCAGTCGGGGGGCCAGTTCTCCTCTGGCCAGACGAAACCAACAGTTCAATTCCAGGCTGCAGCAAAGTCACATTGTGCAGAGGACTCAACTGGTTCCCTGTGGTCTTGTCCCGGTGGCCGTCTAGGAGACAAGGTCTTTACTGGGGATCTGTATCTGGGGCTCATTGGTCTCCGCTGACTTTCATGGCTGTCGAGGTCATCTCTAGGTGCTGATCCACAATCTGGGCTGGATACATACTGGATCCGGGTGACTGCAGTGACCATCTGATCTGGATACAGACTGGATCTCGTGGCTACAGTGATATAGGAATAAGAATGAAAGAGACTAATATTAGCATAGATGCCATTCTTCTAACAATGTAGCGAGTACAGCGGGTGTTATGGGAAGTGTTCCCGGTTCCGGTTGACCTAATTAATGCAGCCTAAAAATCCTTTAACGGATTTGAATATTAGAAATGTGATAGTGTGTTATGTGTAAGCCAGGTTAAAGAGATGGTTTTTTAATCTAGACTTAAACTGACGCAGTGTCTCTAGCTGCTGCATTTTGGACCAGCTGGAGTTTGCGCGCAGAGCAATCACCCAATAAGGCATTACAATAATCTAACCTTGAGGTCATGAACTCATGAATTAACATTTCTGCATTTGACATTGAGAGTGTAACCCAGGTTACTAATGGGTAGTAGCAGAGACAGAATAATAGAGCAAATAATAACATCAAAAGGATGAAAAGTGCTGCCAGAAAAAAATATATATACCTGTGATTAATAAATTATTTAGGAACATAAATGTATATAAATGTAAAATATTGAGGATTATGATCGCATCCAATGAAATCGCGTCTTGAATGACGTCATTACGTCTTCCACTATCGCGGCATTTTTACAACGCAGTGCATTCCAGAGCTTTCTTTTCTCCGTGAACTTGAGATGAGAGCAGATGTCCGTCGCTGCTCCACGAGATTCAGTGCTTCAGAATTGAATATAAAAGACGTAAGACCCATTTAATGTGTCTCTAAATCATTTCACATCGATGATATAAAACTAAGCACTTGTGTAACAGCAGAACCAATTTGATTTATCTTGTGTAATGCTCTAAATCAGCGGTTCCCAAACTGGGGTGCACAGATTGACCACCAGGGGTGCGCGAGAGAATGTTTTGTAATGGCGGAAAAATTGTCTCTTTAGGTTTTTTTTATGTATTTAACTTAGCTAACATTCACATGTCAAAGCTTATTGAGAAATTAAATTTTACATTACAAGCTGTAAATTACTCATGATTTTATTTTGCGGTTACAAGCACGTCTGCGTCTCAATAGCCCCGCCCTTTACCATTAGGCGCTAAGTGATAGTTCATTCTGTATTTATTTTTTTTGCGCTTACTACATTCATCAAAACGGACACCTGGTTAAAAATCGGAACTTTAAAGAAATCAAGGGACAATGGGGGTGAGCCATCTACATCAGCATCTTCTGTGGAGATATGCACTGACCACGGCTTCGTACATACAGAGAAACCCGCTCGAAAGGACACAGAGGATAACGAACGAGAAGAGGCGGGAACAGAGAAAACCAACAGAGATGTGCTGGTCAAGAGAATTAGGCCTACATCAGAGAGTGAGAAAATGTCAAGTAAGAAACGCAAATACAGCGACAGTTACATTGCTTTCGGGTTTACATGGATTGGTGTTGCAGACAGTCCAAACCGCAATGTGTAGTCTGTGGTGAAGTTTTAGCCAATAGCAGTCTCAAGCCCTCATATATGGTCCGGCACTTACAAACAAGACACAGACACTTAAAAGACATGCCTATGAGTTTTTTCCAAGGAAAATTTGAGGAACTGCAGAAGAAGAAAAAAAATTATCCACCCCCATTCAGGCTTAGGGGCTTCCAAAAATGCACAGAAAGCTTCATATCTGGCGAGTTACCACATAGCTAAAAGAGGTATGCCCCACACAATTGGAGAAAATCTGTGCTTACCTGTTGCCAAAGATATGGTAAACTGCATGCTCGGAGAGAAAGCTGCAAAGACGCTGGACAAAATCCCTCTCTCCGACAATACTGTGGCTTGTCGCATTGATTCAATATCTGCTGACATCCTCAGTCAGCTAATAAGCAGAAAAAAAAACAGTGAATTCTTCTCACTGCAAGTCGATGAGTCCACTGACATAGCGAATCTATCTAATCTTCTGGTGTATGTCCGTTATTTATTTGAGAACTCAGTCCATGAAGTGTGTGATGGCACCGATGACAATGGCGGCCTCCGTGGCATGCTCTGCAGTTGTTTTTGTTAGTTTGTCCTGTCTTTAGTTATATCCCTGCAATCAGTTTCACCAGAGACGAATTGCTGGACATTCGGAAGTACACACCACCTGATATTTCACCGGTTTTCGATTATTCTGATGTTTTGCTGGACAATGTAGTCGGGGGAGCTGCAGCGCTGATCAAGCGCTTCAGGACGCGCAGACGGGG